TATTAATGACTCATTTTATCAAATCTTATTGTTTCATTAATATGTGTCCGGTGTTATTAATGTAAAGTTCGTTTTAACACCAATCCAGGTTTGGTGATCAGTCTTCCTCTTCCTCAGGATCTCCAGGCCCAGCTGGGATCTGGCACAAGTAAGTCCTCATCACAAACGAGGGATAAATGACAGACCCAGAAATGGCCACCACCTCTGCTCCTGCCCCCACTTCTGGTGTCTCTCCCATTCATTATGTAGGGGAACAAGGATAAGGCACAAAACAACTTATAACTATAACTTATACCTGAAACAATACTTAGGAACTTCAAAATTTTCAGAAAACTGGTAAAAAATAATGCCACTAGTATTACCCTATTTATAGTCTTGAACTAAAATTGCTATTACTAATTCCATTAAAAGATACAAATCAAAAATCCTAAAGAACTTATACAACAAAACATTAAAAAAAACAAGTAACCCAATTAAATAATGGGCAGAAGACCTGAAGACACATTTCTCCAAAGAAGACATGCAGATGGTTAACAGACACATGAAAAGATGCTCAACTCCACTAGTCATCAGGGAAATGCAGGTAAAAACCACAACGATATCACCTCACACCTGTCAGAATGGTTATCATCAAAAAGACAACAAACAACAGGTGTTACTGAGGATGTAGAGAAAAGGGAACCCTTTGTACACTGTTGGTGGCATTGCAAATTGGTGTAGCCATTATGGAAAACAGTATGGCGGTTTCATAAAAAATTAAAAATTGAACTACCATATGATCCAGCAACTCTAGTTCTGGGTATTTATCCCAAGAAAATCAAAACACTATTTCAAAGAAACATGTGCATCCATATGTTCAGTGTAGTGTTATTTACAATAGCCAAGATATGGAAGCAACCTAGGTGTCCATCAATAGATGAATGGATAAAAAAGAGGTGATATATATAAACACTGGAATATTACTCAGCCATGAAAAAGAATGAAATCTTATCATTTTGAACAACATGAATGGACCTAGAGGGTATTATGCTAAGTGGAAGAAGTCAGAGAAAGACAAATATTGTATCATTTCACCTATATGTGGACTCTAAAAAAAAAAGCTAACTAAATGAACAAACAAAACAAACAGACTCATAGATACAGAGAATAAACTGATAATTGCCAGAGGGCCTGGGCAGTGAGGGGATGGGCAAAAACCATGAAGGGGATTATGAGGTACAGACTTATAGTTATAACATAAATAAGTCATGGGAATGTAATGTACAGCATAGGAAATACAGTCAATTTCACAGTAACTTTGTACGGTGACAGATGGGTACTAGAGTTCTCATGGTGATCACTTAGTAAGGTACATAAATGTCAAATCACTATGCTGTACACCTGAAACTAATATAATATTGTATGTCAACTATATTTATAAAAAGCTTTATGTTTCAGAAAATAGAATAACTCCTTTTTATAAAGTCATCTGAATTGTAAACAGACTATGGGTCTTCTATTAAAAATCGCCATCTCTACTAATTAAAGAGAAAAGCCTTTTCATTGTNAAAAGATGAAAATTATCTCAACTCATTTTTGGAGACTAGCATAAACTTGATAGCAAAACCAAATGTGGACTTCATAAAAAAAGTGAGTTACAGATAAATCTCATTTATAACTATACATGTAAACAGCCTACATGAATGTTGGCAAAATGAACTCAGGAGTGTGCAGTTTGTCCGTGAAATGAAAGGGTGGTTTATTTTAGAACACTATGAATGTATGCCACTACTTTAAATTCTGTTTCAAATTTAATAAAGGAAGGCTTCTATCCTACCTCAAAATGAAGATTTTAGTCAGCATTAGAACAACAACAACAAAAAAAAGATATAAGGGCCATAAAACGTGGGTAGGAGAGAGAAAAAAATCATTCAACATTGTAAATACTGTTATCTACATAGAAAAACAACATACTCTATGACTCAGCTGTCAGAATTGATAGTCCAGAATTTTGCTCAACACAACTCAATATACACAATATACAGAAGAAAGCTGTATTTTCAAACCTAACAATAGATGCAGAGCCTCACTAACGTATAGAAAAAATTGAAGATATCATTTCACACTCTGATTGACAAAGATAATAAGTCTTATAACACTGGAAAATATTTAGTTAAATTTAAGATGTATTAATCTCTCACAGCCAACTTATTATGTACTCTAGAAACCTTCTGAAAACCTTATTGCACACAAAAATAAACAAATACAAAATAATATAGCATGCAATGAAAAAGACTCAGAGTAACAAAAAGCAACTCAGTAAACAAGCCTCTCCTTTATTTTTGGAAGAAAGTCGTCTATTTCACTACTTATCTCTTCGATATTTTCAATTTGTGGTACTGGTGAAAGAATAGACACTTAGATCAGTGGAACAGAATAGAGAACCTAGGAACAGTTCCACACAAATGCAGCCAACTGGTTTATGACAAAAACACAAAAGCAAGCCAATCAGAATAGACTGCTCAATAAATGATACTAGAGCACTTGGACATCCATAAGTGGAAAAAAAACTGAACCTTAACCTAAACCTCACACCTCACACAAAAATGAACCCAAAATGAATCACAGACTTAAATGTAAAGCATAAAACTATAGAACACAGGAGAACAATTTTTGAGGCCTAGCATTCTTAGGCTTGACACCAAAACATGGTTCATGAAAGAAAAAAAAAATTGATAAAATGGACTTTGTCAAAACTAAAATCTTTGCTGTGTAAAAGGCCCCATTAAGAGAAGAAAAAGAAAAGCTACAGACTGGGGGAAAAGTTCTTGCAAACCACATATCTGACAACAGAATCATATCTAGAATATATGAAGAACTCAAAACTCAACAGTAAAAAAGCAAACAATCCAATTAGAAAATGTAAAAAAGACATGAGAGCCATTTTGCTGACATATATTGATGACAAACAAGCACATGGGAAGATGTTCTGCATCACTAACCATTAGAGAAATGCAAATTAAAAGTGCGATGATATATCACTACACAAGTTAGAAGAGCTAAAATAAAACAAAAATTTGTGACAGTATCAAATATTGGTGAGGATGTGGAAAAACTGGATCTCCCAACATTGCTAGCGAGGATGTAAAATAGCACAGCTATTTTCAGGAAAATAGTTTGCCAGTTTCTTTAAATAGCTGCATTATGTAGTAACCTTTCTACATAATTATGTGTCTCATCAAGATCAGTCAGGTTGGTTTCTCAGGCTGAGGCCAAGGGAGTTGCAAACTTCAGATGAACGCATAAGAGCTCCCTCCAAAAGTGGGTGTATCAGGGGGAGCTGTCTTGGAACGCTGTTAACCTATTATCTGGTGCTGAAACAACTGTCAGTGTAGCACCAACAACAAAACAAGACAAGAAAAGTAGGATAAAGTAACTATTTGGCTTGGCCGATATTTCTGAAATTGGATATTTTGTCCTTCATGAGTAGCCCTCAAAAGGCTGGGAATGGACTAGCCCCTCTAGCCTTCCGTACTCGCCGCTTGCACCTCCCCCACTCGTCACCGTTTGTTACCCGGGAAACCAGCCAGAGTTCGCGCGCCTACTGGAAGCTGGTTTCATGGCAGCCACGAAGAAAACACTTTTGGGGCCATTGGTAGGGGCAGTGGACCAGGGCACCAGCTCGACGCGTTTTTTGGTTTTCAATTCAAAAACAGCCGAACTACTTACTCACCATCAAGTGGAACTAAAACAAGAGTTTCCAAGAGAAGGATGGGTGGAACAAGACCCCAAGGAAATTCTGCAGTCTGTCTATGAGTGTATAGAGAAAACGTGTGAGAAACTTGGACAGCTCAATATTGATATTTCCAACATAAAAGCTATTGGTGTCAGTAACCAGAGAGAAACCACTGTAGTCTGGGACAGGTTAACTGGTGAGCCTCTCTACAATGCTATCGTGTGGCTTGATCTGAGAACCCAATCTACTGTTGAGAGTCTTAGTAAAAGAATTCCAGGAAATAATAACTTTGTCAAGTCCAAGACAGGCCTTCCCCTTAGCACTTACTTCAGTGCGGTGAAGCTTCACTGGCTTCTTGACAATGTGAAAAAAGTTCAAAAGGCTATTAAAGAAGATACAGCCCTTTTTGGAACCATCGATTCATGGCTTATTTGGAGTTTGACAGGAGGAGCCAATGGAGGTGTCCACTGTACAGATGTAACAAATGCAAGCAGGACGATGCTTTTCAACATTCATTCTTTGGAATGGGATAAAGACCTCTGCGAATTTTTTGACGTTCCAATGAAAATTCTTCCAAATGTCCGGAGTTGTTCTGAGATCTATGGCCTAATGAAAGCTGGGGCCTTGGAAGGTGTGCCAATATCTGGGTGTCTGGGGGACCAGTCTGCTGCATTGGTGGGACAAATGTGCTTCCACGATGGACAAGCCAAAAACACGTATGGAACAGGATGCTTCTTACTGTGTAACACAGGCCATAAGTGTGTATTTTCTGACCATGGACTTCTGACCACAGTGGCTTACAAACTCGGAAGAGACAAACCAGTATATTATGCGTTGGAAGGCTCTGTAGCTATAGCTGGTGCTGTTATTCGCTGGCTAAGGGACAATCTTGAAATTATAAAGACCTCAGAGGAAATTGAAAAACTTGCTAAAGAAGCAGGTACTTCTTATGGCTGCTATTTCATCCCAGCGTTTTCAGGGCTATATGCACCTTACTGGGACCCCAGTGCAAGGGGAATCATCTGTGGGCTCACTCAGTTCACCAATAAATGCCATATTGCCTTTGCTGCATTAGAAGCTGTTTGTTTCCAAACCCGAGAGATTTTGGATGCCATGAACCGTGACTGTGGAATTCCACTCAATCATCTGCAGGTAGATGGAGGAATGACCAACAACAAAATTCTTATGCAACTACAAGCGGACATTCTGTATATCCCAGTAGTGAAGCCCTCGATGCCGGAAACAACTGCCTTGGGTGCTGCCATGGCAGCAGGGGCTGCAGAAGGAGTCGGTGTTTGGAGTCTTGAACCTGAGGATTTGGCAGCCGTCACGATGGAGCGGTTTGAACCCCAGATCAACGCTGAAGAAAGTGAAATTCGTTATTCTACCTGGAAGAGAGCTGTGATGAAGTCAATGGGTTGGGTTACAACTCAGTCTTTGGAAAGTGGTGACCCTAGTATCTTCTGTAGTGTACCCCTGGGCTTTTTTATAGTGAGTAGCATGGTAGTGTTAATCGGAGCAAGGTACATCTCAGGTACCCCGTAAATGATACCAACTTATGGAGTCCAACAATGCAAGCTCTTTACCTAATGAGAGAATCCAGCTATTTGGTCTCTTAATGTGATGATACTATTCATAGATTGATTTTATTTATAAGCCACTTGCTGCATGACCTTTGAAGTAGACCTGTGGCTTGAAATAATGAAAATGCAGCAGAGCAGGGGGGAAAAAAAAGGCAGGGAATGAAGTGGATTTTGATGAAAGATCAACCCGTTCCCATTCTGGTCATGAGTAAAAATAAAAAGCTTATTGCCTTATGTTTCCACAAGAAAAACTGAATCACAGAATGAGATAAAAAAATGTTATAATTTTCCCTAGAAGGAAATAAAAACATACTTTATCACTTATAAGCAAGAATGTATATTTATTTGAATCTATGAGGATGCATTGTATTTCAGTTCTATCAGCTTATATTTGCAATTTAGGAAATGCTATCAAAGACATAAAATTTCTGTATATTAGGTAGATACTCCTGATACCCTGCCCAGAACCCCTTTACTGGCTAGTGTACCCATCCCCAGATGCTTGGAGTATTATTTTCTTGTAAGGACACAAAGCTGTTCCCTCCTCTGGAGAATTCCCTGCCCCTTTCAGTCTCCCAAGGAGCGGAAGATTCTACCCACATCCCATAAGCTACAGTCATTGAACGACCTACACAGAGATACAAAACATGCCCCCTTGACTCAAGAAGAGACGACTTTATGGTGTGATTTATACTCCAGAGCAAAGTGAATTAGGATGAGAATAGATTTTACCCAAGACCACATTGTTGTTCTGTTCTTTTCTGTTCTATGCCCTACTTCCCTTCCGCCATCACTCCCTCCCTCATGTTTTCCATGATGTACATTCCCCAGGACATCATCATAGGCTCCTGAATCCCCCTCTCGGACTGTGCTTCTAAGGGACACAATTTATGCCTTATAAGATTATACATATTTACTTTAATTTTCTATTATCATGGTTTACAACAAAGGGGAGAACTTTTATTTTCATAGATGTAAACTCTATGCAGATTGAACATACCAAATGATGTAGGTTTTAAAAAACAGAAATAACAACACAAAAAATAATAATATGCACATGCAAAAGAATGAAGTTAGATCCTTATCTTAAACCACATACAAAAATTAACTGAAAATGGCTTAAAGACCTAAACATAAGACCTAAAACTATAAAACTCATAGAAGAAAACATAGAAGCTTCATGACACTGGACTTAACAATGATTTCTTAGATGATATACAAATGTCCAACAAATATATAAAAAGATACTCAAAATCATTACTTATTCATCAACAAAATGCAAATCAAAGCCACAATAAGTCATCACTACCTCACAACCATTATAATGTCTATTACCAAAAAAAAATTTTTTTAATTAAAAAACCCCTCAGAAAATAAGAAGTTTTGAGAATCCTTTTCCTCTGTTGAGATTGTAAACTGGTACAACCACTATGGTAAACAGTATGAAGGTTCTTCAAAAAATTCAGAACAGAACTACCATAGAACCCAACAACCCCACTTCTCAGTATCTATCTGAAAGAATTCAAAGCAAGATCTCAAAGAGATGTTTGCCCCGGTATATTCATTACAGCATAGTTCACAGAGGTCAAGAGGTGGAGGCAGCCTAAATGTCACCAGTGGATGACTGGATAAAAAAAATGTGGTATATACATACAATGGAATATTATCCAGCCATAAAAAGGAAGGAAATCTTATCACATGCTATAACATGGATGAACGTTGAGGACATGCTAAACGAAATAAGACAAGTACTGAATGATTCCAGTAATATGAAGTGTCTAACAAAGGAGTTGTTGCTTTTAATGAGTCTAGAGTATCATATTTTAAAGATGAAAAAGTTCTAGATATCTGTGTCATGACAATATCAATATGCTTAACACTGCTGAACTACACATTAAATAATGGTTAGGTGAGTAAATTTTAAGTTATATGTTTTGCCACAATAAAAAAGGGGGTGGGGAGAATGAGACACAAGGTGCTGCATCACGGGTTTTGAAAACATACATTCATAATTTAAACATTTAATGAAAAATGTAGTTACAAAGATATTGCCTTTCTCACTTTATAAATACGTTTGCTATGAACTCTGAGAGGCTACAAGGTAGCCCTCTGAGAAGGAAATTAGCACATTACATACAGGTCTGTCTCTTTCTCTTTCTCTCTTTTTCTCTCTCTCTCTCTCTCTCATCTACACACCCGACAACTCTCCTGGCAGAAGTTTTATTCTCAGAATCAATTGTTATAACGTGCTTCCAGAGTTATTTTTACTGCATACACAGTGACAATGAAACAAAGGCAGAGTGAGGATTTTCAAAGACAAGAGTATAATCAATTTCAACATACTCCCCCAGAGCTTTAAAAAACACTCTTAAGCATTAAAGTCTTTAAAACTTGCTAGATTTTAACATTCTTGTAATCAAGCTACAAGTCCATATCCCTCTTTATAGAGCAAAAATAGTACAACATAAAAGACGGAGAAATAAACTTAAAAAATTTAAATTCTTCTCAAGAAAATCAACAATATTTTTCACCTCATTAATTTACTGTCTTTAATTTTTTTAACTTGTGTATCAAGTGACCATTTCTTGGGTTTCCATCCAACTGTTAGGGCACACTTTTCTAATGTGTGAATGTGAAAAATGTTACACTTTTTAAATTAAAATGGAACTAAAACAAATACACATGACACAAAATTATTGCATGCTTTAAAGTAGATTTATTTTTACATATCAATCTATACATTTCTACATTTAACAGTTCCTTTACAATATTTCTCCAGTAACAAGTGATTTGATTATGATACATAGCTTTTCAACGGATATAGATTTACAATCTTAATTCTCTCCAGGATTTGTCTCAGGGTAACAATATAAAACTGAAGATCCCTACCTTGAGGTGATGTTCCTGGTTCATTATCCAAGTAGACCCACATGTCTATTCAAATCATGATATGGGTGCTCGGTCCTGCATCACAGATGGCTCCAAAATCATGCCCATGCACTAATGCCCAACACAATGATTTTCCTTCATATGTAGAGCACTGAATAATCAGGTTCCTCTTCATAGGCAATCCAGCTACATTCAGAATCTGCAGAGCCTGATGATTTGGAGCCCCTCCTGTGGATAACAACTAGCTGTCATCTTATTAGATACATACTCAACGAGAACTTCCCTAGGGAAGTCCAGCCCCTTTGAGATCAGAGCTGCCTACTGGTGGCTATTCTCAGATGCTTTGTATGGCATGCCATATTGATAAAATCAAACCCTGTCTTTTCCTGGTTGTCCCTGCTTTCTAAATGCTATGCTCCCACTACTGGGTGTCTCCAAGACTGAGAACCGCAATCGCTGCCCTGTTCCTTCCAAGAGAGGGTGATACTGTGAAATTAAAATGGTCTCAACATATGCAAATCGATCAATGTGACACACCACATAAACAAAATAAGAGACAAAAATCATATGATTATATCAATAGATGCAGAAAAAGGATTTGACAAGAGACAACATCCATTTATGATTAAAACACTTAATAAAATGGGTATAGAAGGAAAATACCTTAACAAAATAAAGGCCATATACGACAAACCCTCAGCTAATACCGTAAATAATGATGAAAAACTGAAGCCCTTTGCTCTATGTTCAGGAACAACACAGGGCTGTCCCCTATCACCTCTGCTTTTCAACATAGTATTGGAAGTCCTAGCCAGAGCAATCAGGCAAAAGAAAGTAATGAAAGGCATACAAATTGGGAATGAAGAAGTTAAATTGTCACTTTTTGCAGATGACATGATGTTGTATATAGAAAACCCTAAAGACTCCACCAAAAAGCTATTACAAGCAATAAGCAAATACAGTAAAGTTGCTGGCTACAAAATCAATGTACAAAAATCCATTGCATTCCTATAAACTAACAGTGAAATCTCATAAAAATTAAAAAAAAATCCTTTTTGCAATTGCAACAAAAAGAATAAAATACCTAGGAATAAACTTAACCAAGAATCTGACAACTATAAGACATTTTAAAAAGAAATTGAAGAAGACACAAAGAAATAGAAAGGCATTCCGTGTGCATGGATTGGAAGAGTCAACATAGTTAAAATGGCCATATTACTCAAAGCAATATACAGATTTAATGCAATCCCCATAGCATTTTTTAAAGAAATAGAACAAAAAATCATCAGATTTGTATGGGTCCACAAAATTCCCCAAATAGCCAAAGCAATCCTAAGAAAAAAAGAATAATGCTGGAAGTATCAAACTCCCTGACTTCAGCTGGCACTACAGAGCAACAATAATCCAAACAGCATGGTATCAGCAGAAAAACAGACACACAGACAAATAGAACTGAAAACACAAAAATTACCCCACATAAATATGAACAGATAATTTTCAACAAAAGAAGAGCCCAAAACACACAATGGAGAAAAGACAGCCTCTTCAATAAATGGCACCAGAAGACCTGGAAAGCCACATGCAAAAGAATGAAACTAAACTGCTATTTGTTACTGTGTACCAAAATTAACTCAAAATGGATCAAAGGCCTAAACATAAGACCTGAAACAATAAACTGAACAGAAGAAAACAAACTTATAGTTATGGTACTAAACTTATGGACCTTGGGTTCAAGGAGAGTTTTATGAATTTGACTTCAAAGGCAAGGGAAATAAAATCTAAAATAAATGAATGGGACCATATCAAACTAAAAAGCTTCTGCACAGCAAAAGAAACCATCAACAAAATAAACAGGCAACCAACCAAATAGGAGAAGATATTTACAAACAATACCTCTGATAAGGGGCTAATATCCAAAATATATAAGGAACTCATACAACTCAACAACAAAGAAACAAACAATCCAATTAAAAAATGGGCAGAGGACCTGAATAGACATTTCTCCAAAGAGGACATACAGATGGCCAATAGACATATGAAAAGATGTTCAACATCACTAATCACCAGAG